CAGAAGTTTAGCTCATTAAAATATTAATGACATCTCTCCCACTGTTATTGCTCTTTCTCTGTTGCTTCCTGCAAGGGATACAAATAATGCCTTCCTGCAAGGGATACAAATAATGCCTGCATGGTAAAGCAGTACCCAATATGTTTGTTTATGCTTGGATGTCTAACTTCCACCTTTGCATAATTGCAAATTGAGTTGGCTTGCTTTGAAAATAGCCTTATTGGGAATATGTCAAAAAATGGAGGGAGGCCCTAAATAAAAATATAAAGGCCAAGGTTAAAGGACCAAATTTCACAAGTTTCATAGGTCTATGCCTTAAAATGTCGGCAGGAAATTCAATTCAAATTGCATTTGGTGACATGCAAACCATTTCCTGGAAGAGCATTGCAGGGGACAAAAATATGTTGACGACAAAATTGAAGCTTTGTCATCTTCTGCTCATTCTTTCTAGGAACGCTGTGTTCTGTATGTCTGTACATTATTTCTTTGTTTGACGTGAGAACGCCTGGGAATGTCACTGGTTCAGATAGTAATGTAGAAAAGATATGAGTAATTTTTCTGTGGAACATTGCCTCCACTAGGAAAGGGTGTTTTCTTCCCCAGGCTTTGCATATTTACATTTTTAAAGACTGAGCTTCCATTAAAAGGTGGTGTGTGTTGGAAACACTCATTGGAAAGAAGAGTAGTATTTGGATTCTGTTCACCTTGTTTCCTTTGCAAGCTTTTCATGTTCTAAGAAGGTATCTAAAAGATTTGCTTGTGTTGTATGGAGTCATGTCTGTGCTTTAGTACTGTTGGTTTCTAAGTCTACATCACTGGAAGCAGAGTATGATGAATAGTATAATAGATGCCAGGAACTCCTGGTCTTTGAATCTGAAGTTTCTTGGCAAGACGCTTGGAGTGGCCACTCTTCCAGAGCAGAAGTCATACCTTAATGTGGTTTAGCCTGTATTTTGATGGATCTCCATTTTCCCCATTGGCCACCCTGAGTGATACTCTGTTGGAAGGTTGTCTTGTACATTATTAATAATAATAGGGGTTAGGGTTAGGGTCCTTTTGTTTGGCAGGCAGTATGGATTGCTTGGATTGGCCAGGCCTGGTAAAATGCAATGAAATAATAAATGCATAAAAATGTTACAAGCAGAACGGAGGGAAAGCCTGAGTAGACAGATTCATCTTCAAGAGGTCTTTTAGCACATCATAGTTCCTGTTTCTTGAGGCACATGCAGAAGATTCTATGGGTTTGCTTGGTGCATACAGGGGAAGACCATCAGCTGAAGATGTGAGTTGTGCTAGCTAGAAAGGACATGGGGTCCAGCATTAAGCAATGAAGTTCAACCATTTTGTGCTCTCTTAGTTTGGCATGAAATTACAATAGCTACTCACACAGTGGTAAATTTGCAGTCCTTTCAGGGCAAATGTGTTAGCTGCCCATTACACCGCATCTAAGTTCAGGAATGAATGCACCTTTTTTCTTCTCTTCTTTGTTTGTTGTGCATGGTTTAACATTACAGCTGTACAATGTATTATTATTTATTTAAAACTTTTGTATGCCGTCCTTTATATAAATATCTTGGGACAAAGGCTAAGTAAGTTTGACACTAACCCAAGACTGAAACTAACCATGATTTGAAGTTGGTTTGTAAGTCTGGATTGAGTAACAGCCTATAAATGTGTAAATAAATAGGAAAATAACTGCATGGTGCTCACAATATCCAGCATCACTGCAGATGTTGGGTTTCAATCATGTTTTAGCATAGGGAAAGGAAGGGGTACCTTGCAACCAGGAGAGCAGAACTGGAGATAATTTGTGAAAACCTCCAGCCCAGAGCTTACAGGAAATCAGTTCGGCATCTGCACTTGGCCTTTTGGTCATTCTACTGTCTATAATTTCTTGGTCTGAGTCTTGTTATAATTGTAGTGTGAACCATTGTAGCCCAGTGAATCCATATTTATTCTGAGAAACTTTAGTATTCTATTGCTTCATGGCTTTCTGTTCCTGCTGTTGCTAATTAGAAGTGCAGAAAATTCAGAGCACTGGTTGTCCATTCGGTGAAGTGGTCATCTGATTGCCAGAGCCAAGACAAAACAGTTCAGTGCACAACATGTGCTGAAAAATGATCTGGTTGCCAGGGCAAGCAGTTATGCAACTTCAGTGCACATTGAACCTGATACACACATCAGGCTAGCATTTGATTGTGTACAAGTGTCAAGTAAAATGGTCTACAGGATCAGGCTTCAGGCCATAACATTTTGTGTCTCAGCAGCTCTGTTGTTCTATAATTGCAATACTATATTCAATGCTCAAGGAGCATGGCTGGAGACAGTGTGTTTGGAAAATCACCGAGACACATTTTTATTTCTCATGTGGTTTGCACTTCCTGATCTTTAAGGCTGCAATTCAGAGGCATACCTCTCTTCCTGTCTGTACCACATACCAGAGAGCATCAATATATGCATACTTGACTTTCTCTTCTGGATCATAGCTTCTGTATTAAGAACCCTCTTTGACTTTCCCCCCTAAATTTAGAGAGCAGCTTATCATGGCTTATTGGGACTGTGATACAAAACATGTAATCCCTCAATCCTTCAATATGAGGAGAGGATTTGGGGGCAAGTTGATGAATTAAATGAGCAATCCTAGGCATGTTTAGGCAGATAAACACATGCAAGTCCCAAAAAGCATCAGCCAGCTAGTCGGCATTCTGGAAGTTGTACACCTATTTCTGTCTAAACTTTGCATAAAATTGCACCCTAGATTGAGACCTTCTGGCCAGGGGCATGAATTGATATGCTTTGTGTAATTTAGGGACCTATGGTCATAATTCTGCAAGATGGAAAGGACATTGGAGAATTTGAGGTGGGAAGGATACTGTACTTTGTAAAATGGGGAAATAAAAGGGTCCTGGGGTGACTGATAAAGAGAGTAAAAAAAGGATAAAAAAACACTATTAGGAAGAAGGGGGAAAGAAACTGAAGAGCAGACATGAATATCCTAAATTTTCTTCACAGATACTTGAGGGCTAGTGAAGGACACAACTGTCAAATAATATAAAGTGGGTTGGTATTGTGTCTACTTGTACATCCATCTTCTGCTTTGGTTTTGGCATCATTTAGTAGTTCCATTTTTATGGAGACAGTTCATATACAGAGATAAAGCTTAAACAGATGCCAGTCCAGAGGAGGTTTACCAGGCTGCCTTTCCACATAACGGCTGCATGAGCATCTCATGCAGAGCAGCTGGGCATTACAGATTAGTCACAAAACAACCCACAGTACCCCCAACAGGTGATTGTGCTTCCTGTTTCTGTTTACCTGCCTCCTTACCCCTCAGTCTTCCAGCCAGCTCAGGCATATATCCCAGTGTCCTGTGTGTCAGAATCCATCTTGCCTTCCCCTCCCCGCTCTGGTCCCTACCCCTTTTTGTTCATTTCCGAGGAAGTACTGTTGCTATTGTTGATGCTGTTTTTGGAACATTAACAAGAGCAATTGGGCTGTGGTTTTTCTGGTTCCCTGAATCTCTGAAGTCTTTATAAGTGACAGAACAGGATGGGGCCAGGCGGGTGTCAGCGCCAGTGGTACTTTAACCTGCACCCCTCTGTGGGGCTCCATTCACTCCATCAGTTCAAAACTTGAAATTGAGACATGGAAGATGCTGCCCTCTTCCTCTTTTGGTACGTTTCCTTTTTCCATTTTGTTCCCACTTATCGGTGCCTTTCAGTTGATCCACTGGTCTCTGGCACCTCTGGGCTGATTAGCCAATATGCGGTCTCACCTTGTCAATGTCTTTGCAGGTTGCATATTCCTCCTCTGCCTTCCCTGGACAGCCAAAACAGGCAAAGCAATTCACTAGGCGAGGACACGCATACAGACAGCCATGCAAATTCACTTTCAAAGGACTTTATGTATATAGTATATGAATACAGTTGTATAATTTTCTGGGACTGGGGAAAATGGTGGCCAACTAGTAACAGTCACTGCCAGTTGGACATCATTGGAGAGGCAGTCACTGGTGAGATTGCAGAGAGAGCCATGGCTTTTTTCTGTTTAAGCCGGGTGGCTTCCTAGCTGATCCCTTAATCCCAAGGCAAAATTGTTTCCTGGATTCCAATGACATTCCATCATGGTACAAACAGCCACTGGGTGTAGGTCTGGGTTCAGCTAATGTGACCCATTGCAGTTGAACACGGTGAGTTGGGAGATCATTAATTTACAAAACAGCAGCTGCAACTAAAACAGATCACTATCTGGGGCCTAAATTTCAGATTACTAATCGAGGCATAGCAACACTGTTAGTGACTCATGTAACACAATTATGCTAGGATTCCAAGGGCGCATTAGGAGGTTTTGTGTGTGTCTGTGTGCACACGTATATGTGAAAGCACTTGGAATCCTAGCCTAACCATATAAGACATTTTCAGAGGCTACTTAACATGCTGTTCTGTTCTGGTAATGTGAACAGCGGTTGCTCTGTGGGCACATGCAACTTCCCCGCAACAGTAACAACTGCCCTATGTGAATTACCTGAGCATGGAGGTTCAGAGGCATGTACTGCCTAGAAATGCCTATGATGCACACGAACGATTCAGGGCACTTGCATAGGCATATGGGATGCTTGATGTGCAGTTCTGTATAATTGAACCAACCTATTTATTGAACCAAGAGCCAGTGTGGTGGAGTTGTGAAGAGTGTGGGACTGGGACCAGGGTGATCTGGGTTCCAGTCCCTGCTCAGCCATGGGGCCAACTGGGTGGCTCTGGGGCAGTCACAGACTCTCAGCCCAACCTGCTTCACAAGGTGGTTGTTCTGGGGTTAAGATTGAGTGCAGGAGGAGGAAGGACACAAACCACTTTGCGCTCTTGTAAGAAAAGGGGCAAGGTATCAGTCAATCAATATGCCGCTTGCTTAGCCACATGTAGAGAAAGTACAGTCAGTCAGCGACATACACTGTTAGCGATAAAGAATAACTCACTTGGTGTTCTCTCCTCTTATTGTTTTAGGTTTATTCCAATCTATAGGGGACCAAGTCACACCTACAAGGTACAACGGCTCATGGAATTTACCTGCTACACGTTCAGGATACAAGCTGTCAATGATGCTGGGGAAGGACCTCTCTCAGAAGTGTTTACCTTCAGCACAACCAAATCTATTCCCCCTGTCATCAAAGGTAAATAAGATGCACCCCCAGTACGGGTTGGAGTAGGCAGATGAATCCATACAAATCACAAATCACGTCCCTAATGCTTTTCACTTTCCGCTACGGAGCGGGGGTGGCACAATTGCTTTTTATCTCCACAGTAATTCACTCTTAAGGGCCTTGATTGCTCTTGTATAGTTCACTTGGAAGTAGCTGAGGATGCTGTTAATGCATCCTCGCCCTGCCACATTTACAGAATTTTATGCAGGGTACGGAAGGGATTGTTATCCATTGACAAGCTTGCCTCCATAAAAACTTGTCGTGGAATTTCCCTGGCTGGTCCATTCAATCCCATCCTGCACAGGACGCTCTAATACTCTGAGTTTGGTGGGCTGTGGGTATCCTGGTTGGATTGTACCCTAAATGGCCGGAAAAGTGCTTCAGTGCTACTTAAAAGGATGCTTTTTGAAAAAAGAAGTACCACATTAAGAAATGGCACCTTCAGCACAGGTCACGTGGTGTGTGTGCTGTGAGCTATGATAGGTTTGTCACTACCCCCATCAAAGCCATGTCCTTAAAGGCAGAAGGCAAGCACTAAGGGCACTGCTGGCAGTGCAACGCAGTGAGATGCTCATACAGACAAGCCCTGATGTTTCACATAAAAGTGGAGAGCCAGGTCCATTTGTAGGTTATGCATTAGCATTAGGAGCATCCCTGGCCCCTTTTGATGAATGGAGGACTTAAGCCTGAGAGATCCAGGGCTGGAGAGCTACTTAAGCCAAGTCCAGTATCTGATTCTTCTTCTCTCCTCCTTCCCCTTATTATAATCAATCTGTTAACTCTTTTAGTAGACAATATGTTCGCCCAACTCTCTATTAACAGATGGGGATTAGGGAAAAAAAAAAAAAAGAACACAGGGGCTATTTGATAAATGGTTACTTACAATTACAGATGTGTTCCAAAAAACTCAGGAGACATGCTCAGTTCCCTCAGTAGTCCCTAAAGTGCCATTCCTTTTGTTTTGTTTTGTTTTGTTTTGTTTTTTGCTGGCATCTCTTTTGTCATCTCTTCCATTTGGCATCTCTTCCATTTGGCCTTTGATTAGTGGGCCAATTTTGTTCATTTTTAGGGGTATCTTTTCTGAGATTTTCCCCTTGGGGTTGAGTTGGTTCATCTTTGCTTCACTAGTCGTTGCACACTGCCTTGGAAGCACCAGAAAGGTGGATAATAAATAATTTTACTAAAACAACACCAACTTTGGCGTAACCCAGAACTGAGGGCCTGGCTCTTCATTACTCTTTCATTGGCCTGTGATTCATCAAACACATAGGTTTTTTTTAAAGAAAGAGACTATTGTTCCTGTTGCTATGAACTGGGGTTTTTGTTTTTCCCCCAGAGGTGGTGGGTGGAGGTTGGGATTGCTTGAATGTTGCTGCAGTCAGTCCAGCCATTCCCGTGAGGACCGAGGCTGGTTACACAAGAGCCAGTGAGTTGGCTTTATGCTTGATGGATAGGCCAGAATGCCATAACTGGTCAGTGACCCAGGGGGCTTTTGGCTAGTAGAAGAGGATTCCCCTGCCAGCACCCGCCAGTGGCACTCAGCATGTGCTAAGGCAATCAGGTGTGCCGTGAGAACAAACCATGCTTTCCTCCATGGCTAGAACACTCACTCTGAAGCTGTAAAGTCTCTGATGAGCAAGGTCCGGAGAGCCCGCTGTGTTTGCCCGTGTGCCCTGCGCTGTCTGAGAGACTAACAAGTTCATCAGCATCTACTAACATTTAGCGGTTCCTTTTCCAACAAGAAAAGCCAAATTCTTCTGCAATCAGAAGACAAGATTGTCAGTCAGTTACAATGGGTAGTGAGTGCCCAGGGGGTTGATGGCTTACTTTTAAAAAGCACAGTAAACTGAATAACACCAAGCTGTCAATCCATTGAATTTTTGTTCCTTTCTTTTACAATTCTCCACATTTTTCTATCATGCTAGTTTTTCAGGTAGACATTTATGTCCACTTTTGTCTTCTTCTAGAGTTTGCTTTATGTGATTGTAGTTAGGTTTAGCTTTGGATTTTCTTCTTTCCATGGTATATCAGGAGTGTTTCTTAGAATGCTCCCTGTCATACTGGATCACTTCTTCATGCTTTACCTCTAATCTCTGGCATTCTATCCTGCTCACTTTATGCGTGCCAGAAGTGCCACAAACTTCTTTTTCAGAAGTTAAATTATTCCTCAGACAGCAGGTGTTCCTTCTTATAAGATGTTTGTTATACTACACCCATTCTACAATAAATTTCTAATGTATTATTATTTTGCTTCACACCCAGTTAAAGTGTTCCACTTCTTCAGTACATGTAAACATTTCTCACAAAGAATGTATCATGCATTCAGAATAAATGGGAGGAATGGGGGAGGGAGGGATTAGAAAGAGCAAATTTTATGGATTTTGCCACTATAAATCAAACTTGATTGCAGTAGAAGTTTTCTTATCCGCCTCTGCTAGAATCTCTTTATTTTTAGGCCACAGTTCTGAAGATGAATTCATTCAGTTTAATGTGTTCTGTGAATTAAATTACAGAGGGGAGAATTATAAATATTTTCACAACATATCCTTTTGCATTGATTGATTAACATATGAAAATCTTTTTTATAGCACCTCGAGTGAGACAGTTAGAAGGTAACACCTGTGAAATTGCATGGGAGACAGTACCACCTATGAAGGGAGACCCGGTCAGTTACATTTTGCAGGTCCTGGTTGGAAGAGAGTCTGAGTACAAACAGGTATGCAGAAAGTGCTGTTTTACATAAAGTTCATATAACAGGATAAGATTTCCTTATGACATGATTCTTTCCTAGAGGTCGAGTCTGTATATTACTCTAAATTCTGCAAATAGCATGAAAAATGTAGAGGAGTAATTAGTTTTGTAAAATACCATGTCCCATTCGACATATTCATTGTATCCTATTCATGAATGAGAAAATTGATCACAGCTGTAACAATTTAGCTTCAGGTTTGATCTTAGGGTTGGCTCAGCTTGTACCCCACAAAGTCAACAACTCAGCAGAGAGTGGATAAGGCCCCTCCCAAGTTTAATAATCCCAGCTACCACTTAGTGGCTGTAAAAGCCTGAAGGGCTAAATTCAGCATAGGAAGTTCTACTTTCTTTGGACTTTTCCTGAAAAATTTCAGATTTCTGAGATACGAGATGAAGACACCCAAAATAATGCTTTGTGATAAACGTTTCATGGAATGAAACTTTCCTTGAGAACGTCATACGGGAGCTACACACTTGCTGTCCTGATGAGGTGCTCTGCTATATAGAAGCCCTTACTCTCTCTGATGCAAGGCTGAGGTTCTTTTGGCCTCCAGAGGCTGTGCCACTCAAACTCCCAAAAGCACCAGCCACCATAGCGGATGGTCAGAAATGATGGCAATGGTCAGAAATGGTGGAAACTGTAGACCAAAATGTCTGAAGGTCACCAGCTTCTCCACCAATACCAAAGCCAGTACCTGGCTGTACACAGCCTCACAAATCTAGGCTTTCCACATCCGCTTCATATGTAGTCTAAATGGCATCATCAGCATCCTTCTTTCTTTCTTACTGCAACTATTATTACCCCCATATATTATAATACTTCAGCCTTGCCTTGTACTTTTCATTCATTCATGCATGCAGTCATTGATTACTTTTCTATACCACCCAATAGCCAAAGCTCTCTGGGTGACTTCAAAGAAAGAAAAACTCTGAAGTATAGTATAATACAAAGCCATTTACTTATAAAAAATATTAAAAAATTAAACACAGCCATAAAAATCCCACTAAAATCCAAGAGCCCATTAAAAAAACAGCATACACTGTCAAATGCCAGGGAGTAGACAAAAGAACCTAGCACTGAGAAGATGACAGTATTGTTATTTGTAACTTTTTTACAATCAAGGGGCCACCACCAAAAAGACACTCTCTCTGATTCAAACCTTCTTCAGAGGTGGTTCTTGGAAAAGAGTCTGAGATGATTATCATAGTATACTGTTCAAGCCAGGAAAGCTGCTTCTCAGAGCTGGAGTAATAGAGTGGTTAAGAGACTGAGCATACAAATCAGGATGTCTCCAGTTTCCATCTCAGTTCTGCATACAGTATTTCACTGTTCTTATGGTATATTATTATGCAGAGGAATGTCTGTACAGGGTGGGTGCTCTCTGAACATTTCCTTTCCAGTATGCTTGATGGATTGTCCATTTTCCAACACTGTCTTAGCAGTAAAAGGTGCATTTGCTGTTTCCCATGGCATTTCTGCAGTAATTGTCATTGGAGAGATAGCTTCCCATTTGCACTGTTTTCTGCCTTTCCGCATCCATCTATAACACAGCTGATTGCATGCTAGTAGCTAGCTAAGCCCTCAGGTACCTTTTAACATGAATCATTGCAAATTGCTTTGGGAGCCAAGGAGTCATGGAAAAGCAAACTGTTGTAATCACCCATGTCGACACTTTCTCCAGAAAGAAGATTGTACTTGAATTTGTTTCTACGTTTTTCCAGCATTATCTATTTCTCAAAGTGGAGTCAGAGGCCAACCCTCCCTACAAGTTGTGAGTAGATAGTGCAAAGAGGTGCAAAGCTAGTGGCCATGAGAATTGATGATGGATGGCAGAGTTTGGAAGATATACCAGATGTGAGAGTCCCTGAAAGAGCCAGCTCAAAAAGCTGGAAATAACACTTTGACAGCTTGAGAAATATTTTTAAAAATCATTATTCTTCAAAAAGCCATGGCAAACTGCTCCAAGGATAGGAGGGCCAGTTGGTGGCAAGATACACTAGTCAACAGACATCATCCTCAGGTAGTGTTATTTAAGATGAAGCACTCCAATTACCTGCACAACCTCCCCCCCCCCACCCGAGTTTGCTCCTGGACAGAAAACCACCCTTGTTTACAGAGCAGTTTAGACAATATTCAGTATCATTTCTTAGTCTTAAGATATTCTGTCTTTATAGATGCATCATCTGTGGTCACTGTAATAGGGGACACTGTCAGAGAACATTTCCAGAGCTGATTCCATCTAAGAGTCTTTCTGCAATTGCTTCTATTTACTAATGGTTGCCTTCAAGAGCTGTCTACTCTGTTATTGCACTAGAAATTATACAAATGTCTTCTCAGAGGGAGAGCAACATGATCTCCAACTGAGGGCTGGCATCCAGCAGATTTTCACTGACATGGTGCAAATGAAAAGTCTTGAAAATAAAAATATGCAAGGCTAGCCTGGTCTAGCCAGCCAGAATTGTGCACATCCTGTATGCAGTCCTCTGTACTGATTAGATTGTATGTCCCTATTTTGTCAAATAAATGTCTACAGGAATTGGAGGGGAGATGCTCTGAACAATTATCAGTAGCAGGAGCATCGGTTTGTTACAGTTTAGCTTTGCTGCAGGCCATATTCCCTTTTTCGTGTTTATTTTTGAAAACCAATTTGATGTGTGCTCTTGCTCTAGAAAGCAGGTAAATTACATGTAATTTTTCAATTTATGAAATGAGTAAGAAGCACACTTTTGTTGGAATGGTTGAGCCAGGGATGTATATCCACTTAAAAAAACCTTTGATGCAATAGTGCAGTACCAAATATTATGTTTCTAGTTTAAATGTATACCCCACTTCCCAGTCCCAAAGTAGACACACAATCTTGTAAGTGTGGAAAGCATGTCATGAACAGAAATGTTGCACCTTACCACTCATGGGTCACAAATTGCTGTGGAACAGGGTTTCCTCTTTCACCCTGAGGGCCAACATTCAGTTTTGGAGGAGCCCCTAGGGTTCAAATTCAGGGAGTGGGGAGGGTCACATGCAAAGAGAATGAGGTCAAAAGCACAAAGGGTTGAGTCAAAATAAATAATAACAATATATGTATGGTTGCACAGCTCTCTTACTCTACTAAGCCATTGGATATTCCTCCTTTAAGAATGTGATGAGGGAATTGGCACAAAAGCTGGGAAACCACAAAATGGGGTACGGCCATCTAGGAATCCTAGAGGGTGGAGTTAGTACCCCGGGAAGATCAGACATGTACTCCAGGTCTGGCGTTCTTGCTGCAAGAGTTTGTAGCCAATGGGTTCTATTCACTGAGAGTCTAAGTCTCATTCATTTCAGTGGGTGTACTCTAAATAAGACTAACACTGGATATGACTGTGAGGTGAAACATAATGCTGTTCAAAGTAATACAAAGGAGAAGTTCTGGCCAGAATTTCTTGAAGCCCAGTAAATAGGACCCAAAAGATCAAAGGGATAGGCCAGAAAAGAGAGAAACCACCAAATTCAGAGTCAGTGACAGAATTCAGATAACAAAATAATGCATTCGGATCAAGTGTGAATTGTTATTGAACCATGGATTGGTTGAAATGTGGGGTAAAGGATTGCAGGAACCCATGGTTTGTTGAACAACCCATAATGTTTGTTCATGGTTAACAAACTATAGTTTGTTGGTGTGGTTGGATTCGGACAACATGATAATCCACATTTCAGTCACAAGCACACTCAACTCTCAAGTGTCTTTACAGTTGGGTAATGACCAGGTGGGAATGGTCACAGTATAATATGACTTGAGTGTAATATGAATTGAGGCCTTTGAATTGTGGTGCTGGAGGAGACTCCTGCGAGTCCCTTGGACCACAAGGTGATCAAACCAGTCAGTCCTAGAGGAGATCAACCCTGACTGCTCTTTAGAAGGGCAGATACTGAAGATGAAACTCAAATACTTTGGCCACCTAAGGAGAAGGGAGGACTCACTGGAGAAGAGCCTAATGCTGGGAACAATAGATGGCGAAAGAAGAAGGGGACGGCAGAGGATGAGGTGGCTGGATGGAGTCACTGGAGCAGTCAGTGTGAGCTTAGGTGGACTCTGGGGGATGGTGGAGGATAGGAAGGCCTGAAGGAATGTTGTCCATGGGGTCGCGATGGGTCAGAAACGACTTTGTGACTAACAACAACAACATAATATTACCATTCCTAAGAGGAAAAGGGTCAAGCAGAATTTAATCCCAGTCAGCCCATTGAATGTTGAACACTTCAGCCTGTTTCTTATTCAGACAATTATGTTAGTGTGTGTGTGTGAGAGAGAGAGGGAGAATGAGAGAGGGAGAGGGGGTGAGGGCAATATTAAGAAATAGCATGACATTAGAAAATTGCAAAAAACATGCTGACATTAGTTCTTACCCAAAGGAAAGCAAATTCAGCACAGATTTATCATTGGGGGGGCAGAACAAATAACAAAGGCTTAATAAAAGGAAGACAAGGGGAATGGAATACTAAAACAGCCAGAGGAAGAGGGAAATTGGTTTTCAGAAGTTTTCAGAGTACACACTTACAGTGCCCAGAAAAGAGACCTCCCACTCCCAGCATTTCCCAACCATTGGTTTCACCCTGAGCTGGTAATCCCAGGCTACAGTGTGACACACGCTTACACTCTGGTGCACCTGCAGCTGGAGTATTGTGTTCAGTTCTGGGCCCCTCATTACAAGAGGGATATAGCAAAGTTGGAATCAGTGCAGCAAAGGACCACAGGGATGGTGGCTGGTTTGCAGGGCAAGCCATATGAGGAGAGACTGAGGGAGCTGGGTCTTTTCACCTTGAGAGGAGGAGGCTCAGAGGGGACCTGTTAGTGACATGCAGGTATGTGAGGGGGTAGCATGCAAAGGAGGATCGTGTCCCTTTTCCCCCTGCAGTGGAGGGTAGGACACATTCCAATGGAGCAAAGCTCAGGGAATTAAGATTTAGGGTGGATGTCAGGAAGTACA